AAGAAGATCTGTGGCGAGAGAAGATGTGAAGCAGTAAGCTCAGACACAAAAAATACATAATGTAGGTGAATGTGGCAGGATTGCAGGGTAAGGCAGGGGACCATTGGAGAGAGATGGCCACAGACTGCATGGTGGGAGGCAGACTTTCAAACCACATAGGCATAGAATAGATGCAGTGGCAAGTCTAATCAGCACTGCAGCTCTGCCAGTCGAGCACAGAGGCAACGATGCCATGTTAACTACAATCAAGTCTAGATCTGGAACCTTAGTGCTCATTGTGCAGCATCAACATCACCTCCAGTCAGAATCCGCCTCTTAACAAGACCTCCGGATGATCCATATCCACTTTGAAGTTTGAGAAATACCTGAGTGGAAGCCAAGTAAAAACAGAAGAACGTTAAAGACAGAGGGAGACCAGGCTTTAAAAGACTCCTCTATGTAGATATCGCAGCCACCAGGGGAAAGATTGGGTCAGAGGAAGAGGAACAAGGAAACTATGGGAAATTGTCCAAGTAACAATAGTTAGCCTGGAAGGCTTGAAGTCCCAGTGGTGATTGGGGCAAATGAGTATGAATAGTGGAGTAGCTGGACACGGCAGCGTGTGCCTGTGATCCCAGCTACTTGGGTACTGAAGCAGGAGGATCAGTGGGGCCCTGGAGTTCCAAGCCACTTTGGGTAGCAAAGGAAGACCCAGTTAAGGGGAGGAAGACAGAAGAAAAACAGAAAAAGAAAAGCAAGAATGATGGGATTCGTATTGGTGGTCTTTTAAGGGAAAGAAATAATTGTAGTCTCATTTTCAGGGCTGATCTCTTACACAATTTGTCCTGATCAAGGTAGTAATACTGTAGCAGAAGGAGCTGTGGTTGTACCAAATCATATGAAACTGTGGGCTCCCTGAAGTCCTGCTGCATGTAGGGTGACTTGGGAAGAAATGGTTTCATTAGGAACATACAGCTTGGACGATTTCTATAGGACCCATACATTGGTATGTTCTTTGGGAAGGGGTTCTCTTTTTAAAAAACTAACTTCTTAAACTCTCAGGAGTGGAATACCTACCCAAAGATCTATGTTTGCACTAGAGGACATATTAACTACGTAAGAGTAGTCTATTCCTCTTGTTGTTCTTGAAAGGAAAAGAAACAAAAGACATCAGAGGCAGAGAGAGGAACAGAAGATAGGGAGATTCTTGTGCTATTCAAGGCAGTGAAACTCACTGGTAGCAGCTGGTTAGAAAGGTGAGTTCTAGCCAGGTGTAGTGGTGCATACCTGTAATCTCAGCACTGTGGAGGCTGGGGTAGGAACAGCACTGCAAGTGAAAGTCAACCTGAACTACACAGAGAGACTCTGCCGGGGGCAGGGGGGAAGAAAGAAAGAACAGAAAGAAAGAAAGAAAGAAAGAAAGAAAGAAAGAAAGAAAGAAAGAAAGAAAGAAAGAGAGAAAGAAAGAAAGATAGATAGATGAATTCTCCTGTTGTATCTGAGTCAGGTAAGAATTTTAATTTTATCTGTAATAAAAAATCCTCTGTCTTTTTTCAAAATATTCAGTGCATTCTCCTGTTCTCAGAGCATCCACAATATTAAAGAGTTGAAGGTTGGAGTGGGTAAAAAACAAATGTAGGCTCCTAGGAAGATGAAAATTTTGAGGAAAGAGTTTTGAAATTAAGGGGATTACTATGTGGACACTTATCTAAAGGGCAGTAGCCCAACTGACAACATTATGTAATAAAATACGTTTTTATAAAGACCCACCTCCTACTTTGTCTGTATACAACTCTCTTATCTGAAAAACCCCACCAGTCTATAAATATAACTGTTTAAGGGGCAATGCAATAAAAATATTACCATAAACATTATGCGATCATTAGTCCTTTAGGCTGTGTTTCTTGAGGGCAAGAGTGGGGCATAGAATCACATGCCAGCAATCCTAGCACTGTGGGAAGCTGAGACAGAAGAGTTGAAAGTTTGAGCTTCATTTTTGCAAATCAGAGATGTAGGAAGACCCTGGCTCAAAATAAAAATTTTCAGAAAGGCTGGGGATTTAGTTCAGTGTGAAGGCACTGGTTTCAATCTCAGTACCAAACAAAAACAATGGAAACTCAAATATCCTTTTTAAAACTCTGAATTCTCATAAAAGCATTCACCAATGTGGCAAACAAACATTAAAATTATTATCTCAATCATGTCTACTTTTATTTAGTTTGCTCCGTTTTAAAAAGTTGAGAGGAAAGAAGTACCAATGCGTAATCAATCTGAGAGATTAAGAATTCCATTTAAAAATTAACACACAAATCAAGGATCACTACTTTCAGAAAGTTACATTCCATGCATTTGAGGTCTATGTTCTTCCACACAGGGTTGGACAATGACTGAAGAAAGTAAGCAAGGCACCATAACCTGCTCCTGACACCACCAGTGTCTTGCAGGATAGACGCTCAGCTCAAAACCCAGACAACTCAAACTAGATGCAAAGCTGTAATTATTACAGAAAACTGAATTATAATTATCTTGGCTTTCACCCATGAAAATATTCCCCAAATCTACTTAAAAATTGAAAACAGACCAGGATCTCTAAGCATATCTAGGACCCATCTTGCTGTTAACTAGTTTCATTCAAGTTAAATTTGCATTTATTCCTTAATTGCAGTGCTGAACTAGTTCTCTACCAAGAGGAAACAAATTACTTCTAGGCTCCTGAGGAAAGACTCTAGTATATCTCTTCTTACAGCTAATAAAACTGCAATCAACTGGGATCAAAAAACCACAATATCCATTTAATATGCTGAGGCCATTCAACTAGGAAAAGCACATTTCAATCTCTAAAGGAGAGTAAAAGAGAGACAGACAGAGATAAAGAGACAGAAAGGCAGAGACAGAGAGAGACTCCCAGACCTTTGACCTTCCAAAATAAAAGGCAAACATTTTGAATTTTTTTATACTTCACAGTGAAATAACTGAGAATATCTCTAAGATGCCAGAATTCTAAGTGCAGATACTCAAAAGGAAAAACAGAAGCCTACAGAAAGCTTTTTTTAAAAGTATGTGTGCGCGTGTGTGTGTGTGTGTGTGTGTGTGTGTGTATGGTTTGGTGAGGTCTCACCATGTAGTTCAGAATTGTCTTGAAATCATAGTGTAACCCAGTCTGGCTACAATCTCACAGTGATCCTCCTGCCTCAGTCTCCCAAGTGCTGGGATTATAAGCATGCACGACCACACATCATTTAAAAAGGCATTCTACTTTTAAAATAAACAAAAAAAAAAACAAACTTTATGCTTGAATGTAGTGAACAGCTGCCTTTGTGATGTGACTTAGAATTACATTATAAAGTCTTCCAACTCAGAATGTTTTCTCCATATACATCAAAGACTGAAGCTCCAATTTTCCTTTATGAGATGAAATCATAGAGAGTCCGACATTGCCCTTATTAAAATGCTCTTGAAAAGGATTTTCATTCTGAGTGCTGAGTATGAAGTGTTTAATGAGACCCTAAGCTAGAAGCAAGTTAGATGAAGAGCATGTAGAAATGGAGGTTAAGAAAGGAACTGAAACTGGAAGCCACAGCACTCTCTTGTCAGTGGTTGAAGGATCTAAAAGAATCCTCTTTCTTTTTTATTGGAGGGTGGGGCTGGAAATTGAACTCAGGACCCTGTGCTTACCAGGCAGGCGCTTGTGCCACTGAACTACATCCCCAGCCCCAAGAATTCTCAAAAATGAAGCAGGAACCAGAGTTGGAGTCCACCTACCCAATCTAGGTATCAGATTTCTTATCTTAACAATAAGAAGGCTGAATTGGATGCTCTCTAGAGTGCAAAAATGCAGTGAATTTTATGAAAGGCGGTAGGTTTGACTAGAAGTCCAGGGTCAACTGCAAAGGGGTAAGGAATACGGAAGCAAAATATCACTAGTGGAGAAGAAAAAAAGAAAGACACTAAAGAAAATGTCTCCTCTATTGTAATTATGTCAAAAGACTAACTCAACATGTTGAAAAGCAGTTCCACAGTGGAATCCTGCTACAGCCTCAGGTGTAAAAAGATCATCAACAGAAATGGGGGGGATCCCTAGACTAATGTTGGATTGCTGCTTTCTTCAAGTCTAGATTTTTTGCAAAAAAGAAAAGAAACTAGTTTTGCCTGAGGAAATAATGTCTTAAACTTAAAAGGATAGTCAGCAATGTGGATGGATTTCCTGGCAAATGAAAAATGCTGACTTCTATGTTTTCTGTCAAGAGTACTAACAATGAAATGACTAGAGTAAAATTCACTCCTTCATTCAGGAGATATTTATAGGGTACCCAGCCTGTGCTCCTACTGGTTTTGAGAAGAGATACAAGGATGAAAAGACACCTCTCCTCTTACAATATAATACCGAACATATGACAAATATATTAATAAATACAAGGAGATATGACACAACCGGGTCTAAGCAAGGGTTAGAGGTTTGAAGAGGAGATAGACTTGTTTTTATTTTTGAAAATCACAGTTTTTTCACATATTCATTCACACTAGCCCAAGTCCAGAATTTCTACAGATAAGTTTAGACACTTAATAAGGAACAGCAGCTCCTGAGCCATCTGCTTTGCTCCAAAAATGAAGATCCATCACGTGCAAACTTTCATTTCACTACAGCTCTGTGAGAATATTGTTGTCAGATGGGGAAGGTAACATTCCATTTCATAACTGACATAGTAACAAATCATGCTTTATAAAATGGCTACAGTCAGTACCTCATTTGGGTGGGAAAAAAAAAGCAAACCATCATGTGAGGCCAAAAGTCACTCACTTTCAGCAAGTTCCTTTGATCCATTTAAGTGTCCTGTTACTAATCTTCTTCTGATGAAGAAACATGTAAAACATAGAATTTAAAGTGAACAACAGAACCTTGTTATAACCAGACAGAAATACATTCCACAATACCCTGGGGGACTTAAAAAATCATTTCCCGAATGGATATCACCCAAAACTACACATTATAGTAACTCAAGGCAAAACTGTTGCATTCTTACCTGGTAAGGAACAATACTTCCATGAGCTGTGCCCCAACGTTTCCCTTCCTTTTGGTCAATAAGATAGTTGGCAGCTATCTGAGTCAAACATGCCACCTACCAGAAAAAAACAAAATAAAAAGAAAAGAAAAACTGTTTGTCTCATGAGCAAAATGCTATAATATGAAAGTAATTTCACTTCATGTCACTGTAGAAGAAGAAAATTATCCAAATAGATTAGAAGATATATAGATGTCTGTATTACCATCATACCAATAAATAACAGTGTAACATTGCATGAGATTAAGTTGTGGTCAATTCATAAATATAAATACATGCACACTCAGCGCCTAAAAAGATCATCTGAATGAGGAGGAGGCTGGCCGAGCAGATGGGACCTTTGTCACACCTTGAACATCAACGCTATAGCAAAACACTAGTATATGCCTTTCCCCTCTCCACCTCTATCATTTTACTTTTCATCACAGTGACACACAGAAAGCCTATGTCACCCCTGAGCAGATGAGCCAAAGCCAGGGGCCATATTCCTCTAAACGTCTCATCACCTAAAAAAAAGTAATAATAGCAAGCTTTTATTTTGTTTAAATCACTTTAGTCCAGTTTTCTGTTACTTACTGCCCACGCTTTTTGACACAGAAGATCAAGATTATTTGACTTTTTAAAAATTCAGTAAGCCAAAATTACTGTACCTCTCCCAACTTGGTCCTAGCCCCATACCCACATTATTATTCTCATCTCAGTTTCTGAGCACCATAGCTCTGTTAAAGAGGTCATCTGATTCTTGCAGCACCTCATGGAGAGATTTTTTTAAAAAACAATTGTTCAGTTCCATATGAGGACAGCATACAGATAATAACTTGGTTCCTAATAACCTGTCACAATAATCTTAGATTCCAAAGAGTACCTGTGCCTCCAAGGCTCAGAACCATGAAAAGGAGGTAACCAAATAAGTTTCCATAGTTTGGGTGGAGGGGGTGCTGGTCTCACAATGTAATCATGATATGCAATGGCTTGTTTTTCTCTTTGTAAATCCTCAGATGTGACTGGGAACCTACCAAGCCAAGAATTGAAGCACATTCCAAACTGAGACTGGCTCCTAGAACAACTTGAAGTTTGGTTTTTTCAGGAGTTGATGCCACAACCATTTTTCCCCCTCTATCTGGCATGACAGCTATGCCTCCTACGAGAGATATTGACAGGACCCACCCTAAATGAGTCCCCTCACTGGAACAGCCTTTCTCCTTTACTTTATTCTTGGGATTTACACTCATTTTTATGTTCATTTACTGCTCTGCTGAAATTGGAACTGCCTTGTGGCAGCTGGTTCGGCTGTACTGCCCAGGTGGCAAAACTAATAAACTCTGAGTCATCCACTTCTGGACTTCCATCTGGTCTTGGGCATTTGAACCATGGAGCACTCCAGGGCTGCCTGGGGCTGCCTAGTGCTAATCACCATTTCACAGATCACTTCTGTGTCTTTCAAAATGGAAAATCAAATCAACATTTTGTAGCAAAAATGCCCTGGATGAGAAGTCCAGATTCATGGTTTCTAAATTCTGTCAACCTCTAAGTTGTTGAAGGACTGTGAACATAGAATTTAAATTATTTGACCTTCAAATACATTTTCTATAAACTGATGGGCACTTGAGATAAACTGATGGCTGTCAAACTTTAAGCATCAAAATAGTTATACTAAATTGAATAATATATGAAATCCCAATACATAAGCAGATAACATCCTAAATGCTTTGGATGAAGCAGGCCAGCAACATCACCGCAGGCAGAGTACACAGAATGCAATTTGCAAAATGGTAAATGATCCTTAAATTTGCTTTCAAGGTCTATACTTCAGAATCCCTTTCCTCCTAACAGTTTGGCAGATTAAAAGACAGAAGGAATGCAAGAGTAGTCATTTTCTCATGATGCCTTTTCTGGAACTTGGAGAAGTTTTCTCTGAGATCTTTCCTACAAGAGAGGATCTTTGATCTAGCTATGTTAATTTTTTTTTCCTTTTAAGTAAATCCTGGTGAAAGTCACTCTCTAAGGTGCTCGGATGTGACTGAAGGTTAATAATCAAAGTTAATAAGGGAAATTCTTTGTATAGAATTAATCACAAGAGGTTTATTATTTCTGTTTCTTTCTCACTTCAAAGGCAACTGATGGTCAATAGGCCAACATCAGCACAAGGCTGTATGACATAGTATATTGGCTAGATGGTTACAAGTTGACTTGTAAAGTTTAAAATAATTGGAGACATTTGCTATGGATACACAAGAACTGGATCAGTCTGTCTATCCCATTTCTTATAAAGTACTTTACTCTTTCCTTTCAAATTTTGATTTCTGTGTTTTTCTGGCCCTACCCCTTTTAGAGTACATTTGAATGAAACACTTGAACCCATCTCTCAAATCCTTTCTAAAGATAAGATCCCGAAGTCCTCAATACAGTAGTAATTAGTGAAAATAAAAAGCATTTCAGGATTACTAGGTTCCCAGGAAGCAGAAAAGTTAAATAAGATTTTAAACCAGTTGCCATTAAAAAACAAAGTAGTTTGTTGGTACATACTCAATGGCAAAGTTTGGGGGAAGAAAGAGTTCTATTTTTAAAAAGAGAGCAGCGGGGCTAAACTTAGCAACTCAGTGTTTAAAGGGGATATTACAAATCTGAAAGTAATCTATTTACAAGGATGTATTTTAAGTCAGGAGAAGGGGGGGCAAAGTCAACAGCTATGATGTGATTATGTATGAAAAATCAGAGGTTTCCTGGGCAATTAATGACAAATTTTCCACAAATTGAAAGAGTGCAGGATGTGACTTTTAGGTTAATAACTACATACTGTATATTCATTCTAAATATTGCATTATATCATTACTTTCATCTCCTAAACTTAGGCTCATTATTTCATCAAGTACAGCCTATATAATTTACTCAGAATGTTGCCTTTATATGGTTTCATCTAAACAAAAAAGCCAACATTGGTTTAATAATAATCATCATGACAGCAAAACTATTATTGTAGATAACATAGTGGGTCTGATAGTCTTTGTATCCAACCAGAAAACCAATGGGGTAGTCAAAGTGGATCTCAAAGGGCATAGCCTCAGAAGGCTTCAGGAAGAATATATTAAATTATTTCAGAAAGCAGTCTCATTGTGTCCCTCACCACCTGACCACACATTTTCACTTCCTCCAAATGATCAAGCTGCAATAATAGAATCTTTCATCTCTAAAGGAAAACAAATTTGACAGGTAAAACAGGAAAAACAAGACTACAGCTAGGGCCCATTTCATCAGAACAGTGATTTTTCCCTCTAGCTACTCTGCTTGGCCTCCACCTAAGTTGGATTAAACCCCAACCATGCATCCATGCACCTTCCCATATCCTGACCTATTCTTCAAAGCCCATTTCAACATAATCTTCCCCAGTAAGCCCTGCACCCATCACCCAAAGAACAAAATAAGTCTCCCTGACTCTGAATGAATATAGTATCTTAATTTACTTAACTCCTGCTGAACTTTCAATGTTTGCATTGTCCTATAATTAGAATTATAAGAAGTCAAAGTCAAAAGTACCTAGACAAGTTTTTCTAAAATACTATCTATGCATCCCAATCACCTAGGAAATTGCTAGACTCTCCACCCCAGAGCTACTGAATCAGATACTTCAGGAACCTGGAGGAACCTGGGAAAAAAATAATTGAACCAGTGTACCAATTCGTGGACTGGCTGGATGTTCATATTTGAGAACCCAGGCCTTAAGAGAGTCTAGTCAAAAACCTTATTATAGATGGATAAGTAAAAGAACAGCCGAGAGAAATGACTTTTCTGAGGTCACAGAAAAGGTACTCCAACTTTACTACTATCCTCCATGCTTTAATACTTGCATTTTCTCCTTTTAGATTAGGGATGCATTAGGATACAAATAATGTCCTATAAGCCCTTTATATGTTCTCATGGCACCTAACACAGGACCTGAACACTCTTTGAGCAAATGAATGCAAACAAGTACTGAGTGCTGCCATCGGTAAGGCATTGTGCTAGGTATGGTGCATAAATTAGTAAATAAAAAATCTATAGTCAAGGGCCAGGGATGTAGCTCAGCAGTACAAATGCCTGCCTGGCAAGCACAAGGTCCTGAGTTTGATTCTTGGTACCAAAAAATAAATAAATAAATAAAAGGAAAAAAATCTATGTCAAGCTCCCCAGCAGGCTTAAGAATACTAGAGAAAATGACTAAGCAAACAGTTATAAGAAACTGCCATGTAGAGAAGAGGAGGAAAAGAAATTTAAAAACAAAAAGAATAACGCGTGAAAACTCTAAGGCAAGAAAGAGATTGACATACAGAAAGAACCCTGAAAGCAAAACCAAATACTGAATCATGGTGAGAGAAAGACAGAATGAAATTAGACAGGTTGACAAGGACCAGATCCTGGCAGTCTTTAGATCATGGTAAGGAACTATTCTTTGCACATCTTCCAGAACAATCACTTTAAAATCACAAATCATGTCATCCTTTTATTTAAAACTCATGTGGCTTTCCATTGCATTGACAATTGTATTCAAAGATTAAAAGGAGAAAAAAAAAGGACTGTTATGGACACTGCAAAAGTCAAAGCATATTGATGATAGTTTGAACCAGGCTGGTGGCAGAAAGCATGGAAAATAATCAGTGGGTTTAAGATATATTTTGGACAGGTGAAATAGTTCAGTGGTGAGCAGTTACCTAGCATGCAAGAGGCCCTATGTTCAATCCCAGTACTTCAAAAAAAAAAAAGATACATTTTAAGAATAGAATATATAAAGGACTGTAAGGAAACAGAAGATAGGATAATGAAAGAGAAGCAGGAAGGGGCTGGGGGTTTAGCTCAGCGGCAAAGCGCCTGCCTGGCAAGCGCAAGGTCCTGAGTTCAGTTCCTGGTACCAGAGAAAAACCAAAAAAAAAAAAAAAATGAAAGAGAAGCAGGAGCCAAACATAATTCCAATATTCCTGGCTGAATATCTGGGTAAATTATATTGGCATTAACAGAAATAAAGATTCAGAGATAAAACAACTGCAGGGAAGTGAAAATTAGTGCCCACCTCTGAATATGTTATG